TATGGATATAGTCTGGCTGTTGTCCTGTGTCTTCTGTTCTCTCTTTTAGGAAGAGTTGTATTTGTTGTATTTTTAAAAGTATATATGGTTTTGGGAGGAGATTTCTGCTGCTCTAATCAAACCACCATCTTGACCTTTATAAATGAAGAAGCTAATATCTTAAAGACTAAGTGATGTGTTAAATGTCAAATAGAGAAATAATTGGTATACCCATACTAGAAACCTGGGGCCTCTTATCTCTGTATGTTTATATGTACACACAAGCACATGAGTACATGTGCACTAAAACACTGTACCTCTCAAAATAAAAAAATATGAAAATGCTTTCTGTACCAGAGCTCTTAAACTGTTCAGGCAAGAGGCACATGATATTAGGTTATTCCCCTATATTCCTGGGAAGTGGGATCATGTGATTAAAGTGTTGACCATTGGATTTCCCCTTTGTAAAAATAGAGTTTCTTTTTGTATTTAGCAGGTAATCTTTGGAGTGGCTCTTTGGCACCTCCAAATATCCTATTCCTCATAAATTTTGTAATTGTTTTAGCATTCGTTGATGATTTTTCCCTGAATCAGTTTAGCTCATTCACGTATTTTTAATAGTATTTCAGTATAATAGGATTTTCTTTGACATTTATGTATTTTTTAATATTGAATATCTTAATTATAATAATTGTAATATATTTATTTGCTTTATCCTACTTAATCAAAGAATTCAGAAAGTTCAATATTACAGGAAGCATCCTTAATATATGATGTTTATTTGTTGCTCCCAGCAAATTTATAGCAAAATCTTCTATAAACTTGTAAAATGTATGTTGAAAAAGACACTATTATATGGGTTTATGAAATACAGATTTCAGTTATTTAAAATTCCATTGAGAACAAGCTTTCATTTTAGTACAATTACTGATGGAGTCAATTAATCATCAGTTAATAAATTGGTACTATTTCTAAAATAAATGCAGTACCATACTGTAGTTTATGTACAGCTTACATTGTACACGTTTTTTTGAATTGGAAGTAAAACCTGTACTTCAATATCACTATATAAAAATGTAAATGTCCAAATGAAAAACAAAGGTATACTCTCTGAAATCATTTGAATCTGTAGTTTTAAATTCCAATTATTGATAATCACTAAAAAATATCAGTATCACAACTGATAATAAAACTACTGAGTGACATTTAAGATTTTATGGAACTTCTTTCTGTCCTTTGAACAAGTTGTTCCAATAAGATTATAAAATCAGTACTGTGTTCAAAAATTATTTGAAATATTTTTTTTCATTGTAGTTATGATACCAAATCACATGTAAATACAGTTATTTGCATATTTTCAATTTGAGAACTTGGAATTTTTTTTTCCTTTTTGGATGAATTTGTTTTTTTAATATTAAAAACCTTTCATGGTACAGAAATCAAAATAATGTAAATATGTATACTCGGAAGTCTTGCTTTCATTGCCATCTTTCTCCCCCCATCGGCCTAGATAACCATTGTTATTGATGTCTGTGTTACCTTTCCAATGTTACTTTTTGTGAAAATAATAAAATACTCATATATATTTTTAACTCCCTTTTAAGCAAAAATCAGCCTATCAAATATGCTGTCCTGTACTTTGAGATCATTCCACGTTCCATTCAGAGAGATCATCCTCATTCTTGTTTAATGGCTGCATAGTATTGTGTTGTTTGGATAAATCACAGTCTGTTCGACTTGTCCTCTACTGATGGATACTTGGATTTTTTTCCCTATCATTTGCTATTTCAAATAATGTTGCAGTAAAGAACCTTGCACATATGTTGTTTGGACTTCGTGATAGTGCATCTTAGAGTAGATTCCTATGAGTGGAATTGCTGGCACTTCCATGCCATGAGTGAAGTAATTTTGCCAAATTTTGTTATATTTGCCAAATTCCCCTCTGAAAAGGTTGTGACCATAGAGATTATCAGGGTACAGAATCATGGTTTTTCCACAGGTATGTTGATAGTGTTGTCAAACTTAACAATTTGATGCTAGTTTTAGTTTGTCCTCTAGTGAATGAAAACAAGCATTTTTTCCATATGTTTTGGGGTGATTTCCTTTCCTTTTCTGTGAATTGTCTTCATATTTGTTTGCTTGTTGGTTTTGACCATTTTTCTCTTAAATTTTAAAAGCTTTGTATATTTGAGAGGTTAATCCTTCAAGATATGTTACAATTATTTCTCCTAGTGTGTCACTTGTCTTTTGACTTAGATCATAATGACTTTTTTGAGCTTCTTTGCCGCATAATTTCTTCTTATGTAGTTGAATTTATTAAGTTTTTCCTTTAAAGCTTCCGTGTTTGGGTCATAATTGGAAATGCTTTCCTCACTCCCAACTAATAAAGGAATTTACACACTTTCTTTTATTACTTACATGGTTTCATTTTACTACTTTTAGCTTTAACTCATTAGTGTTTTATTCTGTATATAAAGTATGGAATTGATTTAATCTTTTTCCACATGGCTATCCACTTGTCCCAACAACATTTCATTAAAAAGTCTAACCTCTCCCCACAGTGATCTGAGATGCCACCCTTATCAAGGACCAATTTTTTTTTTTTGAGGGCATCTCTCATATTTATTGATCAAATGGTTGTTAACAACAATAAAATTCTGTATAGGGGACTCAATGCACTATCATTAATCAACTCCAAGCCTAATTCTCAACAGTCTCCAATCTTCTGAAGCATAACAAAGAAGTTAAGGACCAAATTTTTATGTGCATTTGAACCTCTTCTCTTTGGTTTTTATGTTACTCATGCACCAATGTCATAGTTTTAATCAGGTAGGCTTTAGAATATGTTTTACTATCTGAGAGGGCTACCTTCTCTCCCTAAATATTACTATTCTTGTGAGTTTGCCTGGATATTCTTGCTTGTTTTTCATATAAACTTGAGGTTCAGCTTTGTAGCTCTGAGAAAAATATATTGGTATTTTTGTTGAGGAGAATTGACACCTTTGTGATGTTTAGTCATCTTATTCAAGAACATGTGATAATCTTCCCATTTATTCAAGTCTACTTTTTTTTTTGTCCTTTAAGAGTGCTTTTTGGAAGGCTTTTTTATTATAGAAAATTCATACATATTCATACTTACACAGAAACAAAAAGAATGATATAATGAACCCCCATGTACTATTACCCAGCTTTAACAGTGAACATAATTTTCAATAACTGGAGGTCTTGACTTACCACCAGGGTCCATTTCTTGACTCTATTTATCTGATTTAAAAAGGCAGTGTTGCTCTGGCCACTGTTACTCAGAGAAGAGTATTTGGGTGAACTACAAAGATGATCACATTTATATAGTCTCTGAAAAACATTTTTAAAGGTAAAGAGCTGTTATTCTTTGGATTGTTTAGTAGCAATTAAATAATGTTACAAATAGTCATTTATAACAAGACAAAAGAACTAAATCCTGTTCCCTATCAAAACATTAATATTCAGAAGTTAAGAACCATAGTTACAAATTTAGAGTGAACATGTGTCAAAGATTTAATTTAGTTTATTAAGTAATGGGGGAACCAGGAAGGTGGTAAAACTGGTTCTGAGGAACTTGAGTTTATGTAGTCCTTCCTTAAAAAACAACGAAAAAAAATTTACTAGAACAAGATTTCTAGGTTAAAAACAACACTGGTTAATGCCCTATAGGTAACCTTTGGGTTATCTTTTCTATTGGACAAAAATCATTTGCATAGCTCCTTGACCACAGATCTACTGGTTAATATGTAACTTTACAGAGTCCTTAATTAGTAGTAAGTTGCTAAGTCAAAATTGTTTATTCATCTAGAAAATTAAGTAATTCTTGGGTGGACATGTTAAGATGAAGTTAGCACACTACAGCCCGTGGGTCAAATCTGTCCTGGCACTTGTTTCATAGTGTTTTTGGAACAGCCACACTCACTCACTTAGGTCTGTGGCTGTTTTTGCACCATAAATGGCAGGGTTGAGTAGTTGTGACAGAACCTACTGGCCACATAGCCTAAAATATTTTCTGTTTGGCCCTTTACAGAAAAGTTTACTGAGTCCTGTATTAGGTAATAGTTCAGGATGGTATTGAAAGGACATGTTGCTACTATCTTGGCCTTCTAGAATTGGGGTAATTTTTCTTAAGAACCCAGATGAACAATGAGATTATAAAATGCACTCGGCCTGGTATTTCTATACTTAATGATCCTCTTAATCCCCCCTCTTTTCCATATTTTTACCTTATGCATGTATGCCTTTGTCTTTGATGTACCCACCTTTCTAGATATCTCTATCATTTTCCTACATTTCTGCCCGTTTCTCTGTATTTTACCTTTTCCTTCTTAAACTTAAACTTTTTTCCTTCTATTAAATTCCTGTAATATGGAATATTATTATTTTAAATTCCCTGATCTTAATGTTTAATTTAGGTCCATTTAAACTGTTATGTGGCTGCCTAAAAAAAGATCAAAATACCAATTTAAGTTATCAAAACATGTGAATTCTATTAATCTCTTCTGCCACTCACCTCTCCCCCACCTCTAGTTGTAGATTTCAACAGAAGAAAAATTCCTTTCATTGTTTTAATTAAGCTGAAGGAGTGGGGGAAAAGATGGAAATAAGAGGACTTTCTTTCCTAAACTTTGTTTTAGAATATCTTAAGACTGTTTTTTCATGTGTAGTTTTGTGTAGGAAACCTTGAAGGATATCTTAAAGTAACTTGGAAGCCACAGAAGAGTTATTAAGTCTTTAGTTCATACTTAGGGAATATTGATAGTTGAATGTTTGATGATAAGGTCTGAGCACAGTAAAAATATCACAGAACTAGAGTCTTGCTCAGTATATACACTATTTCTTAAGGCTTTTCAAATCTAAACATAATAGTTTTCTATTTTGAAAAGGTTACATCAAAATCATACCTTTTTTATTCCCTAGTCTGTATCAAATCAGAGGTTGTACTCAATTAAAAAAATATTTTACCACTTAATAAATGATTTTTTTTCATCTTGAAGATAAAGCAGAAGGAGAGAAAGAACAATACTGATACTTTATATGAAGTTGTATGCTTGGAAAGTGAATCAGAAAGAGAGAGGAGGAAAACTACAGCCAGCCCCTCAATTCGCCTGCCACAGTCTGGATCTCAGAGTTCAATGATACCTTCTCCTCCTGAAGATGATGAAGAGGAAGGTAATTGTAGAGAGAGCTTAATTTCTATTTTGGAATGGAGGACCATGCAGACCATCATAATTTTATTAGGGAATTGATAATGTGACATAGCATTTGGAATTCTTCTAGTAAATACTTAACCAGAGTCTACTATATGCAAAGGACTGTGGGAGATTTGAAAATGTTTAATTCAAGTCCCTCTTTAAGATAATGGCAACCAAGCTAGAAAAAATGAGATTTATAATTAGTGCTTTTTAAAAGAATCAATCTGTGCTGGCTTAGTGTATTAGCACTTTTTCAGAGTAAATTTCCCATAGCTTCCACCTAAATAAATGTTCCCTTCTCAACTGATTGATTTTACAAGGCCAAGTTCACTTGCCAAAATGTGGCACACGTGACCCTATCACAAAGTATATATGCCAGTAAACATTAGGATAAACACCAGTAAACAATAGGAATCAACCTGTACTTTTTTTTCCTCCTTTTTTTATGGCTATATCTATGAATTAATCTGTCAGTCTGTCAATCTCTTAAAAGATAACTATATAGAAGTGATAAATTGAGTGAAGGAGCACAGGAAAAGTGAAAGTTTAGTTTATAATTTTATACCAGGGCTTTATTTTGAAGAGAATAAAATTTGATTATGGTGGGTCATATGAGGCATGTGTCTAATGTGAGGTTCACAGGAAGTGTTCTGGAAATTCAGAGGAGAATCCACTTTTCATTGTAGGCAATGTGGTGAAACATGAAGAACAGTGTTTGAGCTGGAGTGCAAGGAAAATTCAGCAGGGATAGATGGGCTGGTTTGGGCACTGCCGGCTAAGAAACTGCATTAAAGGCATGGAGGTGGCAAGAATGACTGACTGGGTTGAAAGAAATACGGATCCATGATTATATGTACTTTTTTTCAAGTTTAGAGCAAGCTCTGACTTGAAATTCCCATTGTTCTTGTAACTTCCACTTTTCCTATGACTAATCAACTAAGGATATTTTATTAGTGATATTAATGTCCACCAGTTACTAAGGCTTAATAGGTGGTAGGCAAGTACTTTGTTTATAAAGTAAAATAATACTTTGTTTATGTAATCCTCAAGAAATACTGAAAAATAGGATTTATTATCATCCTTAATTGCACATAGGCAATGGACTCACAGATAGTGAGTTTGCCCAAGGTCGCAACTAGAAATTGGCAGGGAGGATTTTAATCCAGGTCTATTAGTTAATAGTCTAAGCTCTATTCAGTCATCATCTGTGTGCATTTAGTTCACATAAAGCATTTTGAAGTGCAGAGAAAGCACATGTATTGTTTTTGAAACAGTTCAGAGATAGAATTTAGAATTTCCTGTAGAAGCAATTGAAGTCATGGTAAAACTGGGAAGGGTGAAATTGTTCTCACTGTTACAGGTTTTCATTGTCTAACTGGTAAGACTTGAGAATTGCAGTTTCCCTCTAGGCCAACACTGCTTAAGATGGCAGAACAAGCGGAAGTTTACAGAGCTCTCTTCCCCATAAATTCAGCAATTAAAACAAAGCCACCAAAAACTGAGAATGGCACTCTATTTGTTAACAAAACCAGAGAATGTGCAAATCTCCATAATATAAATTTTAAAGAATACCTACCGGTTACAAAGAAATTTGGATCCAACTAAATGAAAACATCAGGATTGACATCTAGTTTCAGTCTATAGGCATAGATTTTTTTAGTATAATTGAGGAGTTTCAGGTGGCCTCTACTGACAGTTCTTAACCAGGGAGAGAGAAGGACTAACGGCCACAGGCAGACCATGGGACAATAGAAACAGTAGAGCACAAGCTCTGCAAGGAAGAGAATGTGTCATTTTTTTGCTCAGCATGGTTTCCTTAGCATATAACACAATTCCTGGTTCTAACAGGTGGTCATTAAGTATTGGCAGATAGATGACCCTGCTGCAGAATCCATTTCCATAGGAAAAGCTAATGACAGGAGAACTGGGATCATGCCATCTTTTAATTCTCTCTAATCCATTTTACAAACTAGGGAAACCAATCCAGCTGTGATCTGTTTGCTCCCTGGAAAGAAATGGCTTCAGTCTTTTAGAGAGGCTCCTTATCTATAGGACATTTGTGCTCACAGGGCAAGAAGCCAGCAGTTATAAACGAGAGGTGTTTAGAGACAGCATTCTGCAGCTGAGATTGCCTGTTCACTCCCCACCTGTATTAGATACATGGAGTTTTAAACACTGATTTCAAACTACTACTGTTCAAATTTGTTGAAATCATCTTTAACAGTAAAAGAGAGTTTTATAAAATAGATCTGTTAATCTTGTTGAAGGGATTGTCATCTCTTGTAAGTTTTAGTATTTTTATAGCTTTCTTCCACCAAAGAGTTGCATTATACTGATACTTTAATAAGTAGAGAATTATTTGAGGCATTAGAAAGTAGGGCCAATTATGGCAGTAGTCAAGAATGGGAAGTTTATCTTAGTGCCCTTGAACGTTTGCCTTTTCCTTACTAAGCAGTCTACGGGAGATGTCTCATTTACATTCAGTCAGTCCATTTTCCTGTGCACCTTTAGAACTACTAATGTCCAAGGCATTATAAGGAAAAGAAATTTAAAAAGTATCATGAATTTCTCAACCTTTAGAATCAGTGCTCTCAGATAATTGTTCTCTCTAGTAGGAATGCAAATTCATAATGTAGTCATCAGAGGTACAAAGATCCAAACTTTGTTTCTGGCAGGTTAAGCCAAAAAACCTAGAAGCAGCATTGGTGAGGGCACATGGAAACAAATAGTATCGTAACCAATTAGTGGAATGTAAATTGGTAAAACCACTTTGGAAAGGAGTTTGTTAGCAAGTTTCAAAATCCTTAAAAGTATGCATTTTTTTAAGCCCAGGAAGTCCACTTCTGGTCATGAGCCTAATGAAAGCAATGAGATTTGTTGCTCCTGATACTATTTGTAGCAAAAAGTTGAAAACTTCGAAGCGTCCAACAGAAAAGGATTAAGTAGTTGTCTTAGTCCATATTTTTCCCCACTTGGATTACGCTTTTCATTTCCTCTCACATGCCTTTATCAGTGTCACTTTTTTCACTGTCTTTAAATTCTTATTTGAATTACTTTTCCTAATTACTAGAATTAAGCTTGAAATTAATCGTGTGCTACTGTAGAAAATTCAGTAAGTCATACAAACATGAAGGGAGAGAAAAAAATCAATGATAATTCCATCACTCAGAGGCATTAATTGGTAATGTCCTGGCATAGTTCATTCCAGACTGTTTCCTATTTTCTAACATAAATTGGATCATAATGAAGATTTAGCTCTTGATATTTTTATTTTATGTGGTATTTTGCCAGATTATTATGTAAAGAAATGTCAACATGAAATAATATTGTGAACATATAATTTATTCAGCTATTCTATTGTTGGACACTTAGGTGATATATAATTTTTTCAATTTTATAAGTAAGACTGCTATTTATTTTCATGCATATGGCTGTTTGCCTTGGAAAAGGAGAGAAAGCATACCATATTTTGGGTCCTATCATTTTATAAGTAAATGCCTTTTCTGCAGTTGACATAATATGGACCTATATGGAAAACAAAAGAGAATTAAAGAGATTATAACAACATTTACCTAGGACCATTTTTATTTTCTTTTTATTCATATCTATGTACTGAAAGAGAGAAATTGTGACTTTATGCTCCCAGTAAAAATCTTTTAAATTTGATTGTTAAATTTCCATGTCATTCTTCTGGCTAGCATAGCCATCTCTGTTATCCTTTTTTGTGTTGTGTTTATTAAAGATAATGATGAACCTCTCTTGAGTGGATCTGGTGATGTATCCAAAGAATGTGCAGAAAAAATTCTTGAAACATGGGGAGAACTACTGTCAAAATGGTAAGTTATAATGGAATAGTTCTCTTCAACTGCAGTGTTCATTTTATGGGTAGGATAGCTTACCTGACTACCATACTCAATTTTAAAACCAATAACAGAAACCTAAGTTTGAAGTTCACATTCTAGAATCTGTTTTTAGAGGTTTTTAAGGGTAATACTGAGGATCTGAAGTCAACTTTCAGAGTGTCAGAAACCTAATACTCCTTGATGCAGAAAATATTCATTCAAACATGTAAATCATGGAGAGAATAAATAAGGAAAGAGGTCCTTTATATTGAAGCAATTAGGAACCACTAACTGGTTAAGATAATACACAATAGTGAAGAGGGCACATGTGGGGTTTTTCTTTATCTATCTTATGTACCTAAAGTGATAGCAGAGTGATACATTAACTGCGTACCAATTATTTTCCTACTAACACTTACAAAATTCAGGAATTTCCCATCAACTCAAGTTAGCTTGACAACAGTGTTCAGAAGCACTATCCTATAGACTGTCTAGGAAGAGTACACTCCCTTCAGATATGAATGAAACCGTAGAGTCTCTAGTAAGCCAGGTTGGTGAGACATTTGCGTAGTTTCCTTTTTCCTCTATGTAGGACGCCAGAATATGCTGGCAAAAGCTGAGCTTAAAAGTAATTCTAGCATTTCTCTATTTCTGACTTTTCTGGTTATCATGTAATATTCCCATGGGTCTGTTACTTTGGGGTCTGATTTTTCTCAGAAGTTTCGCTATTGAAACCTTCCACTCTAGTCTTGGTAAACTGTGTCTCAGAATTTAAAAAACTCATGCCGTTAAGAAATAGACTAAATGGACATCGTCTGCTCCTAACATTCTCACAATGCTTTATGCTTTTGGTAGAACACCCTCTGCATTGGGAAATTTCAAATTGTACAGAAGGAAAATGCAAACATTTTGGTCTTTACACATGTGTTTTAATAAATGAATCACTCTAAAAAGTCCCCTAGGGGAATACTCCTCATTTATTTTTGATATTCCTTTAGTAATTAGGAGACAAACCTGCTGATGCCCTTATCACAATTATATATTTAGGTCTTCGAATTTGGAGTGTTTGGACTATTGCTTCAGGAATTTCATCTGTATAAGAAGATTTTTGTTCTTAAATAAAAGTGTAATTGAGTCTTGATGTGGTTATTTAATAGTATAGTTAAAATCATTTAGATAGAGCATTTAAACTCTACTTTTTCTCAGATGAACTCAACAACATTTTCTACAGTTGCTTGAAACTGGTTACCAAGCTTTGCTTATTCATTTAATTATGTCTTTCTCCCACTCCCCCAAATATATTAACTGAGTTTCCATCTGTCTCAACTGTCTTCCCGGTATTTAAAACTTCTTGGTTTCAGTCATAGCTTCAGAAATAATAATACAGTTTCTCTTCTTCATTTCATCATTATTTTTTTTTCACCATTATTATATGTGTAATACAGATAGAAAGCATTGTAATATCATGGAATTTTAGAGCCTGGTAGACCTGGCTTCAAATCCTACCTCTCTCGCTTCCAAGTTTTATGGTCTTGGGCAAATTACTAAACTCTTCTGAGTCTGTTTCTTCATTTACAAAATACAAGTATAAAGCTACTGTTCAGGATTATTGTAGAATAAAAAATGATGAATATTATAATAGTAGTAACTATAGTAAGAATTAATGAATTTATCATGTGCCAGACCCTGTGCTAAGGTATGTGCTCTTATTTCAACTATAACAACCTTATAAACTACTGTTCATTCTTACAGATGAGAAAACTGGCTCAGAGATTGTCAGCAATTCTAGTTAATAAATGGCAGACACAGAATTTTTAACAGATCTGATCCCAAAGCTGGTTTAACTCTATGTCAGCTTTTTAGGGACAGTAGTAGTAATAGTATCTTTGAGCTCTAATTCTCAAGTTTATTTATATGTGACTATTTATGCATGAGAGAACTGTTAGTGTATAATAGTATATGCTGACTTGAATAAAGTTAATATTACTAATACATGCAGTTGTTCTGGAAATAATTTTACCAGTATAAATTAAGCTAGGATTAGCATATAAACCTGAGGTTAGGTTTATTTTTTCTGTGAAGGGCTAAATGTATATATTTTAGGCTTTGTGGCCCAGTAGTCTTCTTTCACAACTACTCAGTTTTGCTGTTTGTAGTGCAAAAGCAGTCATAGACAATATGTAAACAAGTAAAAATGGCTGGGTTTCAGTAAAACAATTTGCAGAAACAGGTGGTGGGCTGGATTCGGCCCACAGGCCATATTGTACCAGTCCTTGAATTAACTAAAAGAACTAGTTTTGTTCTTTTTGCTCCCAACTCTTCAAATTTTACATAACTGTTTTCCCTAAGCAAAGTCAAAACTATACTGAATTGTCAATAGCTCTTGCATTAGACTACTAGCATCTTAGAAATACCCATTTTTAAATTTGCTGTGCATTATTCTGCTAGAATTCAAGGAACATTTAAAGAAAAGTTTCAGGCTTTTTTATATTTTGATAGTGGTCATTTTGTTATCAGTAACTTCTACCTAAATCTGATAGTCACAGAGCTTCTCCATGTCCCAATCCTCCTTTAACGACTCAGTACGAATGGCTTTCAGATCACACAGCAGCTGTGGCATAATCAACAGAACATTCATTGGTTTGAGAATTTGAGGTCTAACTCAGTCCCAGTCCCTGAACTTCTTTCTCCATCTGTAAAAATGGAGATACTCCTGCCTACTGCAGATGGTCATTGTGTGGGTCAAATAAGATTATGTGCAAAAGCACTTTGTAAGTTGGTATCAGCACTTCTAGATGAATTTAATTTTCCCCATTTTATAGATGAGATAAGTGAAGATCAAAGACTTACAATAACTTGTTTTGATGTCTTAATAATATACTAGAAACTTTATCCACTACAGTCATTCAGAAAAGCTACTGCTGAAAGGATTTTTATATTTATATCAACTTAAAACAAATATTTATTTTAACTTAGAACATATGAATACACAGTTTACTTGTCAGTTTTGATGCAGGCACAAGACCTTATCTTTGGCTGTCTTTGTTTTGTTTGGGAATTATGCTTTGTTTTTCTGACATAAACTACAACCATAAAGCTGTGGTTCACAGTTTTGATTTTTATTAAAGAAAAACAAAGGTAAAGCAGCAATTTAAAGATATTTAGAAAACAGTATGCACAAATCTTTCCTCCACTCAACCTTTGACAGTTATCTTGGCCACATGTAATTCAACAGTTGGGTTTTTTTTTTTAAGTGTGTGTTATTTTCTTAAGTCTTTGTAAATCTTTTAGTTTTCATAAAAATAAGTCTTTCAAGGCTCTCTCTTTTATGCACTTACAGAATATGACTTTGTTTTTAGGCATCTCAATTTGAGTGTGAGACCAAGGCAGTTGTCATCCTTGGTAAGAAGTGGTGTTCCTGAAGCACTCAGAGGAGAAGTCTGGCAGCTGCTAGCTGGCTGTCACAACAGTGACCACCTGGTAGAGAAATACAGAATTCTCATCACAAAGGTACGGAGATGATAATTCAACTTTACCATTAAACCTTTCAGAAATGTGTTATGAAAACATCATTGTGGCTATTTGGTTTCCAGTTTCTTAATAATTCCTATATCTAATATAAGAATAGAGCTTTTATACTTCTAGGCCAAAGTTTCTAGTATTGGTACAAAAGAGAAGGCATAGGCATATAGGTCATCTTGGTTGACTTCTCTCAGGGAAAGTATGACTTCTGCTCCTTTTATATCTAAATACTTTTAGATGATAATTACATTTTTAGTCAGGTGAGTTGTGCGATGCAGTGTGTGAAAACTCTTTTGTTTCACAGAAATGTGCCCTTTGTAGGGAAGGTCTAGTTCTAGTTTCTACAGTTGGAAGGACATGGTTCTCTTATCTTAAACCATATTCCTTTTAGCTCATTCCTCTAAAGTGAAGAATTTTCCTTTTCTCTTTTAAGTGTCCTCAAGTTCGTGCATTCTTCAAGGTTTTGCACTCAAGCAGCGAAAACTATGACTTATACAGGTGTACAAGAATTTGATTTTCTGGAAGGTTAGGTAATGCTCTGTACCTTTGAGCCCATGTTACTGGTTTTCATTCTTCTTTTTGTTCTCTCAAAATCCTGAAGTGTTTATCTTTGAGAAACAGTTTCTCCAATGGTGTGTAATTCCCAAATCTGGGTTATGAGTGAATTCCACAGAACGCTCAATAATAGAATAATTCAATGTTCAAAAGGTGGGATTTCTTTTAAAAATATATTTAAAACCTATAAGAGATTAATACCTCTATAAAACTATTACTTTTTAAAAATATACAATATAGGGAAAGAACAGCAGTTGAACATGAAGTTGGACCTTTCTTCACCAGAAAATGACTTTTATTTGCCCAAAATGTTAGTGTTCTTTCTCATCTTTTTTGAACACAGATGTTTTTTCCTTTCAAGAATTATTATTCTGATGCCCTCCATTATGTTGATATTATTGCTTAATTTACTGAGTACCTACTAAAACCACAAAGCTGGAGCTGGGAGGTCAAACAAAAAAGCAATTAACTGTCTTACGAGACATAAGTCATATGATAGTCTGAAAAAGCAGTGGGAATCATCAAAAGGACTGATTAATGCACCCTGAGAGACAAGTAGAGTCTTTATCAGCAGTGTAACTTTTAAGAGATGTGTTCCAGAAAAGAGCTTCCCCAGCATGGAAGGATGGACAGAGCTTTATACTAGCAGTAAGAATGAGGGCATGTAACATGTATAGCTAGCAAAGGTACATACGCCTCGGTGATTTTTTGCTTTTGTTGGTAAGTCATAGTTTGGATATGTAATTCTCAGTTGTAACTGTATCATTCTGCTTCTTTTAAAGTCCTTTGAAGTATTTGGCTTAAAATTACTTTTTAAATATTTTTGGTGTGGCTATTTATACAGATAATTTAAAGACATGAAGTTGAAGTTTTCTATTCTTTCAGAGAAAATGAAGTGTTCTATGAAAATGGTGACATCAGTTTCTGAAAAAGGAAGCTGGTTAGTTATATGATGTGTAAAAGATCAGCTCTAAACAAAATCTGATAGTTTGATCAATGCTTTGTATATGCTGGTGTCATGTGCTTTGCATTTCTTACTAAGTTTTCATTGTCATGCAGTTGGCTAGAACCTAAAAAGATATCTAGTGAATGTGTATTAGTTTAAGTTGCTGGTGATACATGGTAAGAAAACACAAATCCTTTAACCATTATTATACTGTGAATGATTTTCTGTTTTACACGAGTGTTATCTAATGAAAGTTGGTATTGCTTTACTGTCTGCTTAGAAGTAATAGTTATTGTTGTATGGGGATGGTAATTAACAGTTTTTACTTTACTC